AACCGCACCACATAACTCTAATCTAGGTAGTGAAATATTCTTGCCTTTTGGTACTAGTCTGGATTTTGCTGCAACTAATACCACTGACTTATTTTTAGTATTGTGTTTATGCTGGTTTTTGCTGATTACACAATATATCACACAAGCGTATGCCTGGGTGGATGCGTCACAAAACCCATGTAATTGGATGACGTCAACCATGTTGATTTGAAGCCATCTTGGAATCCGAATTTGTGTAATATTTTTAATATCTTCTCTGATTTTTATCCATTCTTCCCTTATCTTATCCGGAAGTTCGCTATCCCAAGTTATGTTTTGTACCCAAACCTTTTGAAATAGGAGCTTGAGTTTAGTTACAACGGGCGCGAGCCATCCTAAAGGGTCGAACAGTTTGGATATATCTGACAATAAATTACGTTTTGTTAATTTTGATGTCATTGTGCTCAATTTGCAATCAAAGGTAAAGTTGTCAGATTGAGGATGCCAACGCAGGCCTAATGTTTTTGTTGAACCTTCATTTTTAAAGTCATAAGATTGACCATTGTTTAATGCGGCACTGACACCTTCTAGAAGTACTGGCGTATTTGCTGACCATTTTCTAAGGTTAAAGCCTCCCGACTTTAGTAAACTAATTAAATCTGTTTGCAACTGTTTTGCTGACGATATATCATGGCTTCCTGAAATCAGGTCATCCATGTAAAACTGGTTTTGTAAGACCTGAGCTGCTTGGCTCAATCTGTATTTATGACCTTCGTCTTCTGCTAACTTTTTGAGTACCATCATGGCAAGAAAGGGAGCAGCTTTCGTGCCATAAGTTACAGTAGATAGCTGATATTCCTGTAACCTATCTGCAGGCGTATCTCTCCAAATGATTTTTTGGTATGTTTGATCTTCCTCGTGCAACACAATATGGCGAAACATATTTTCTATATCCGCAGTGTAGGCGTATTGATATTGACGCCATCTGATAATAAGTGATAAAAGATCTTGCTGAAGATTTGGACCTCGGTACATAACATCATTTAAACTTTTTCCGCTTGTTGTTGGCGAGGAGGCATTAAAAACAACGCGAAGCGCTGTAGTTGATGATTCCGCGCGCAATACGCAGTGATGAGGAAGATAAACGCTCGGTGTCGTATTGCTTGATGACGAACGCATATGACCTAATTCTCTATAATCATTTATAAATAATTTGTATTGTTTTTCAATGTCATCCCGATATTTAAATCGTTTTTCTAAGTTTTTGAATTGTGCAATTGCTCTTGATTTTGACTCCCCTAATCGTTCCTTTGCGTCTGATAATAAAGGCAGCCGAACTATGTATTTTCCGCTCGGCTGTCGGCTAGTTGTTTTTTCGAAATATTCTAAACATTGTTTGTCTTCTTGAGAGTAGTTACCAGATTCAGGTATATCTTCTATCTCCCAAAATTGTTTGAACTCATCAGTATCGATTTGAACTACGTTACAATGATAACTTTTCATATTTCCGCATAATATCCAACCAAGGCGCGTTTGTTGCGCAATTGGCAGATTTTTGTTTAATCTACATATCCCTTCTAGAATAATTTGGGAATAAATGTCGGCTCCTAATAAAATATCAATTTCTCGGCTAATATAAAACTGTGGATCTGCTAATTCAATGTTATTTAAATATGACCAATCGGGTTGTCGGAATGTGTAACTAGGAAGATTTTTTGTTAGACTTTTCATGATATAAACATAAGTGTTAAATGAATAACTTTCATCCATCGAACAACAGTTTATGTTAACCATCCCCTTGCAGCTGCTATCCTTGGCACCTATGCCTGTTATTAAACCCTTGCATCTATTACGTGGTAACCCTAATAATTGCTCCGCGTTCTCAGAGATTAATGACACTTGCGATCCCTGATCGATAAGAGCGCGCAATGTTTGATAAGTGCCATCCTTCTTTTGCACTTTGATAATTGCTGTCGATAATAACGTTTCTGGCATTTCATCAGCCTGGGCCACGTGTGTGTTGCTGTCGTGGTGGCTTCGGCTCGGTTTCGAGGTCGCGTCGCCGCGCGAAGTACCTACTGCTGAGTCGCGATTTTGCTTTACACAATACGCTTCGTGAAGTATCGTATTATGATCTTCGTTACATTGGCGGCATCGTTTGTTAGCAATACATATATTTCCGTTGTGGTCAAATAAACAATTTTTGCAGTAATTCAATCTTTCAATTGTTTGCCGCTTACCTACGGGTGTCATTTCTTGAAATTTCTTACAGAAAAATATGCGATGTTCGTTGTTTTTGCATACAGGACAGTTTTTGCTTGAGCGAAATGTAGGTTTATTAATAGAAGATTGAGAAATAGTTTTATTCCCCGAGTATGCTTGCTTATAATTTGATTTTTGATAATTATTGTTAGGATAACTTTTGTTCTGTTGAATGTTATCTTTTCTTTTTGATGATTCCAGGGTAGTAAATTTGCTCTCCAAAAATGATAAAAGATGAGCTAAAACAGGCAACTCTCGTGGTTGTTTAAGAGAAGCTGTATATTCATTGTGTGTGTCTGAATCTAATTTTTGACTCAATAAGTATACTAATAATGGGTCCCAAGTGCTGATATCTATACCCATATTTTTGATAGCATTCAAGCATTCCATAGTTGTGTCATGGATGCGTTTTATAAGGTTAACTGTCGGCTGAGACATTGTAGGCAAATTCATTAGAATACTGACATGCGAATTGAAAATTAGTTTCTGATTGTTAAAACGCTGGTTAAGTATATCCCAGCATACATTATAATTATCCGAACTGATATGCAAGTGCTGGATTAAGCGTTCGGCCTCTCCTCTTAATTTAGTTTTCAAAAACTGCATCTTCTGGGCGTTAGAAAGTGAGCGATTGCTATGAATTATTTCTACAAAAAGATCTTTAAAAGATACCCATTGGTGGTAATTTCCACTAAAAACAGGGATGTCGATGAGCGGAGTTGACTGCTCCCTGTGTTTTTCAGACCATAATTTAGAGTTGATTTGCTTTTTTATATTATTATAAGTTGATTCATGGAAGAAAAATGTTTGATCATACATTTTATTTTTTCCATCGAGTTCACTATCTAATTCCCAGTGTAGTGCATCAATAACTGACCACCGTGACTCTAAGGTTTTCAATGCATCTTGAAACTCCCATTTTTCTGATAATAATTCAACGTTCAAATTGGAAGTAGTACGAGAGAAAGCTTTAAAATTGCTATTTTGCTTCTTTAACATTTCATCAAGTTTGCTGTTAGTACCATGCGATATAGATTTCGGAATATTATACGAGATATCACGAGACTCTGTTGTCACAGGATAGTTAAGTTGCTCCATGGAAACCGACGGCGACTGCGTCGGGGTGCCCAACGGTGTAGCCGGTTTTAATAAGGCTCTCGGGTGTTTCAAAATAAAATCACGAGTTGATGTAAAGAAATCATATGTTCTTTGATAATGATTACCCGTAAAATAATCATGAGATTCGTCACCTATGTTACTCAATTTCAAATGAATACTCTGGAATTCTTTCCAATATTCATCTAACAAATTAACTTTTTTATTGATATATTCAGTCGTCTTGCGATGTGAACCATCCTTTTTAAAATTGCTGAGAAGCGATTCCATCTCTCCGAAAATCTGGCTCTGTGTTGCCAATAAGTCTTCCATTTTTACTGCACGATTGTTACGTAAACGATAATATGGAAAGATCTTACTTGATAACTCTGCTATATTTCGTGGAGGTTGTGTCTCCCAGCTGCCTCTGCTGATGCTTCTGCTTCTGTTGTGATCCTTTTGATATACACTGACTCCAAAGTCCGCTGTGTTGGAATCACTTACACGAACACTGTTCACAGTCCTCGCGCACCTGATCCCACCTTTCCGAAGGTTCGAAGGACCATAAAGATGTCTGGGACACCTTTAGTTGCTTGATACGTTATGATAAGTTCCGAAAAACTGTCCCGAAAATGTTGTTATGTTAAATGATAAACGATGTTGTTTGTATGAGTAATTTATTGCTACTGTTCAATTCACTTAATAAAAGGCGTAACGAGTCGCGCGCAGCGCCGACGTTAGCATAATACTTAAACATATAGAATTGTACGGGTTTGCCCGTACAGTACCTTTTGGCTAGGTTTCGGGGACAATTTTGTTCCTGTTGGTGTATAGATACATATTAGGGTATACATATTATAGGGTATTTAATATACCCTGCGCAGACGAAGGAATTTTGTCCGCCAAAATATATCGCTCACAACTGCTGCAACAGAGACGATGAATTTTTAGAAATACATATTAAACATTCATTACTGGAGTACAAATGGTCGTATTCATCACACAAACATCTGCCTCCACCGGGATTTGAACCGGGACCTCTCGAGTCGGCGACACCATGAAACTCTGCGTACAAACCACTCGGCCACGGAGGTCGTCATAAATAACATTACAGACACCACCACGCATTGACATTCACATACATTGATTGTAGACTCAAAATATAGAATTATACTCTATAATTAAAGAGTATAACTCTTTAATACAAGCAACTAAATATCGTTAAAATGTATCTCTCGAATTCTATGATCGAATTCTGACACTTCACATCGAATTTACTTAATGAGCATCATAATAGACATATACTTCTATCAAATTTTCGAATATAAAATAATAGGCAAGTGAAGTGCGAATTTAAAAGGACCAATTTAGGTTTTAAATATACATCAATAACAAATCTAAAGAAAATATAACTAGAAAAAATTCCACGCGGACTAAGCAGCAGACGGGACTCAAACCCGCACCTTTCGCTATCCTGGCGAATGCACTGACCATTATGCTACCGCGGCCCTGATGGCCGTGACGAATTCTTTCTAGAATTTCGTACGCTGCAAGGCAGCGCCATTTCTCCGCATTGTAGATAACCCACAATGATAAATGACGATGGCAGTAACATACTTAAATAATAAAAATTATAACTATCAATAACAAATATAAAAACATACCTTTGGCCAAGTCCTGACTGACTCGTCCAATTCGGCCATCTTGCTCGCGTTGTAAACATGTTCGGGGGATTTGGACAGGTCGCCGTAATGCAGATTGTGATATATCGTGTCGTGGAACAGTACGCAATCCTGTTTACATAATATTAAATCATCATCAGTCTATTAATGTCCCTACTGCTGGGGCACAGGCCTTCCCTATGGATGGAATAGGGACATTGGGCCATGCACGACCCACTACGCGGGCCCAGTGCGGATAAAATGGACATAAACAAAATTAATTGTTCGGGATTTACCGAAAGTAAGATACTGATAAAATGATAAACTTGATAATAAAGTATATTTTGGGTAACTAAACAAGAACTTAAAACAATACTATTTGATATGAAAATGATTGTTATGAGTACGCGCACGGCTTACTTGATAGCTAATTGCGAACTAACTTGTAAGTAATTGACGATTAATGAAAATAATAAGATCAAATAGTAAAATGATGAGCGGGCGAAATGTACAGTGGGGGTCACGGCCGCGTGAACACTTCAAAAAATCTTTCCCGTGCAAGCGCTAGACGGGTGATTTTACGGGCCCATCCTGATTGGTCGTAGTATTTTACTTTAGCCAATTAGCATAGCACTGCACTGGGTGTAGTTATGAATGATGCGTGCGAGAGTAAATATTATGCGCGACGTTGCTCTACAGCCAGCGGTTTGGCATCATCTCGGGATTTCTGTGCGCGCATCACAGATGCGATATCGGGACACCAAATAAAGAAATAATAAAACAACAACAATAATCATACGCGTAATTTTACATTTGGTTTCGATTTTAATATTGAATTCATGAATCTGGTATAGTCATATGTTTAAAGTAAACCTATAACCTTTTTACTCTCAAATAGAATGAGCTTAATAATTATTTCTGTTATTTTTATTACGCTCTTGTAAAAATAAGTACTAGTTTTCCGTCAGCAGCTTCGCATGCGCAGAACAAAACTTTGATCCTACATTGTAACCACTCAGAGTATAAATTAGAAAATACTACCATTTTCTAATTTTCTGGGTAGCCTAATTAATTACCAACTTTAAAAAAAATAATTTTAATTTATACACATTTATTCCCATTTTAAGGAAGTTTCCTAAAGGCTTCCTTTAGGCAACGACTCCTAATCATTAATAACTTTTGTGTAAAATTTCACCTTCATATTTTAGTAGTTTTCGAGATTTGTCAGTGAATAAATACTCAAGTGGTTTCGGTTCTATATACTCATCTAAAGATATATGCGTTAGCATCTAATGGTCAGTGAGATATATTTTGTTATTTTTTTAATACAAGGCGCAGAAAATTTCCCCTCCCAAGCCAGATATTAAAATGTGACCCCGCTCACTAGTGAAGTGTGAAGATAACTGATGCGATAGAAAAGTGTGCCGCTCCAGCTATTCTCGCCTTGCTGGCCTGAACCCAATCCCCGTCCCCGTGGAGTCCTAAAAACTTATTCACCAACAGAATCATCATCAGCCTATTAATGTCTCCACTGCTGAGGCACAGGCCTTCCCTATGAATGGAATAGGGAAATTGGGCCATGACCCACCACGCTGGCCCAGTGCGGATTGGTGGGTGCTAACGACTGCAGATGCAGCCGGGACCAACGGCTTAACGTGCCTTCTTAAGCACGGAGGAGCTCGAGATTGTAAATTTTTGGTCACCCATCCAAAGACCGACCACTGCGAAAGTTGCTTAACTTCAACAACCGCAGTCGAACGCGCTAACAACTTGCGCCATCGAGCTCCTCACCAACAGAAACACAACACCAAAAGGTAGGAAGTGTTATTTTACTGTGGTCTTCTGTAAGGAAAATGTTACTTTTCCAGACGGGCGCTCCAATTCCACCGAGAAATCCGCTATGCCCTATCTCTTTTAAAATAAATATAATATCGTTAATGATAGTTTTTATATATTAAGTATTTACTTTTATCAGCGTCTATTTTACCTTTAAAAGACGTAGGTCATAGAGGATTAATCACAAACCCCTTTCTAAGCAATGGGCAAAAGTGAGACCCTTAGGTCGCGCTGAATGGCTGCCGTACACAGAGACGCCAATTAACTTTTAATTTAAATTAAAGTTGATGCTGTCACTTTCTTTGTAGAAACAAAATTTCTTGGCAAAACAAAATAAGACAACACGCGACTTAATGAAGCACCTTTAATTGACGTGTTTGAGTGCAGCCGTTAATGACATTTAAAATACCACTGAATTATTCAGGAGTTATGATTCTTATTAATAAATAAGTCGTTAAATAATCTACAGAACTCTTACTTCGTGAATAGCACGAACGATTACAACTGTTTCCGGATTTAATTATGTAGGTAATTGAAAAGAGGATTCATTAAATCATTTACGAATTCCAAACAAAATGTAATATCATGAGCATACATTCATCACAACACAACCGAGCTATTGCTGTTCATTCATAAAAAGTCGAGAGCCCGCCCACTAACGAATCGTACAAAACGAGTGCATGGCAAAATCGCCTTAGAGCTGTTCAGGCGCCCGTGACCGTGTTTGTACATTGATTATCAAAAAGCATTCGACTCCGTCCCACACTAATGGTAAAAAAAGGTACTAGAACACTATAAGATAAAACAAACGATCATTAACTTTCTATCAAGCACTATGCAACACTGGGAAACTGTGCTTAAACTACGAAATTATAGCGAAACATAACCAATTATTATCCGCAGAGGTATATTCCAAGGAGATGTTGTAAGCCCGCTACGGTTTTGTTTAACCCTAAATCAGCTTTCAGGTATGTTGAACAATAGCAATGGTGACTTTGTGCTTGTGCACAGTTAGCCAGCAATTAGTCTTACGCATTCGATGTACATGGACGACTACAAAATTAAACAGAAAAAAACACATAGTCTGCTTGATGTTGGATCCGCATACTATGGCATCTACCTCATAAATGAGAGGAAATGTACATAAACATAATAATCATTATTATTTTCTCTTTGGGAATAGTAAAACGGCTGCTAATATTCATATTAAATAAGGACGCCAACAATTGGTACATTATGTTTCATACTGTCGAATAGCCGATTACAAATAAGTGATGGTAATGGTTCTTAATAAATTTAATTGATTTCTATGTATTTTTTTAACACCAATTTGCGTAGCCCCATAGTAAGCACTGTAAGGCTTATGTTATGGGACACTAGAGTAACTACTGTACATATATAAGTATATTAATTTAGAAATACATATTAAACATCCATGACTGGAGTACAAATGCTCGTATTCATCACACAAATATCTACACCGCACAGGGTTTCGAACCTTACAAACCACTCGGCCACGGAGGTTGTCAAACATTTTAAGCTTTAACATTAATTTGTTTATTTTTATTTTTACCTGTGGAACGATAGCGATAGCTCTCCTCAGGCTGGCCATGTCTACTTCCTTAATATTCTGTCCGCCGACCAGAATCTCACCGGACTGCGGCTCAAAGAAACGGAACAACAGACGCACCAACGTTGATTTCCTATAAACATACATTTTAGCATTTTATTTATTTTATTTTAAGCATTTATATCGACACAAACGAAACAACAGACGCGCCAACGTCGATCTGCTGTAAACATACATTTTAGTATTTTATTTTAAGCATTTATATCGATACAAACGGAACTCAGACTCGCCAACGTCGATTTGCTATAAACATACATTTTAGTATTTTATTTATTTTATTTTTAGCATTTATATTGGCACAATTTTCTTCATTCATCCTTACCATGTCGCGTTACATTTTTAATTCTAATTAAAAAATAAATAAATATTTCCAACGCAACACTCACACCAATTAGTCTAGTCCCAAAGTAAACACTGTAGGCTTGCGTTATGGGATAACAGGGTAACAGATAGAATACATATACTGATACATATATAAATATATTATGTATATAGAAATACATATTACACATCCATGACTGGGGTACAAATGCTCGTATTCATCATACAAACATCTGCCCCCACCGGGATTCGAACCCGGGACCACTCGAGTAGGCGACACCTTGAAACCCGGCGTACAAACCACTATGCCACGGAGGTCGTCTTGAAAAGAACAGACCTTGTCACCAGGCTTCGTTGGTTTAGTGGTCAAAAGCTCACCTGTCACGCGGGTGGCCAGGGTTCGATACCCAGCGAGAACTTTTTAAAATTTTCCACTTTTTGTAAACCAGTGTTAAACTAAATAGGGATGCCTGGTTTGCATTATCTCTTTTATATCTCATATACTAACCAAACACGTATTTAATGATGTTTGTAATTGAGGAGTTCCATTGATAACTACGAAAGTGCTCATCAGATCTCTTTACTACGAAAGTGCACATCAGATCTCTTTAAAAGTATCTCAATAAATTCTAGAGTTGTGGTTTTTGCCTAAACAATCTCAATAATTTTAACACAACGATATTAAATACCCTAGATACAACATCACGAACAAAATCGTGGCCGAAACCTGGCCAAAAGGTACATTGGACGATCTACGGAGCTCCGTAAGATGATGGCGTAGTCAAAAACAATACAAGGCATTATTTAAAAATTTAAAGTCACCTTTAATGCATACTGTATAAGGTCTTAATTAAAACGCATGCGTCAAAGCGTAACAACAGTTCAAAATGCAAGCTCGTAAAATTTTACGACTTATTACTACATGCGGAAGAATAAAGACCTTATTTCTTTGTCTCTACGCGCAATTCTGAATGCGCTGTTAGCAATAAATAAAGGTACGGACCGCGAAGAAAAGATACACCTATATTACCGACCATGTATTTGAATATCACAAATATTTTCTATTAAATCAATTTATAGTAAGTATTAGATCAAAATTTGCTTCAAATGCGTTAAATTAACAAACATTGATTAGATATATGTCGAAAACAGGACACTTTACCTACTATAAGTATTTATTTCGCATTTTTTCACGGAGCTCTGCGGCATCTTGACTTTTCAACGGCCCGCGCATGACTGTGAACCAAGAAGTGCTTATCGCGTTCAAGCACTTCTTGATTAGGACACATTTTGGGCGCACGTGGTGTATCTAGGGTATTTAATATCGTTGTTTAAACATCCTATTTTTTCTGTATTTCATATTTTGTGTACTCACCCACTGCCAGAACCGCCTACAATGCCGATCTTCTTTCCCGCGGGTATAGTCAGATTCAAATTATTGAAAATCGGCTTTCCATTGATGTACTTAAAGTTCACGTTCCTGAACTCTATGGTTGAATTCTTCGTGTCCACCATTAGGGGAGGCGCTTTGTCTATCTCCTGCAAGTATTAATAAATACTGTTTTAGGTTACCTAATATTTAGTTATTAATATAAGATAAGAAGATTGAATAGCGTGACTTATCAATATAGAGTTGAATGGGAAGGTCAAAGTATGGCTCCAAAAGAATACTTTTATAACAGTTTAAGAGCGGAGTTTCCGCTCAAATTGGAGCGTGGTCTTGAGAAGTCCCAAAGTAAGCACTGTAGGCTTGTGTTATGAGATGCTAGGGTAACGGATATAATACATATACTGATACATATACATGTACATATAAAGAAATACATATTAAACATCTATGGTTAGAGTACTCAAATACAGTATCACACAAACATCTACCCCCACTGGGATTCGAACCCGGGACCTATCTAGCAGGCGAGACCTTGAAACCCGGCGTGATAAAGCTCTACGGAGGGTTCGGGTAACATCCCTTCGCAATGTCTGACGCGCTTGAATATTTCTTCTCTATATTCCAAAGAGAACTGTAACTACGGAAAAAGAGTGACCTCTCGCGGCATATTTACGCCAACCGATTGATAGTAGCGCCTCTACATTTGTGCACCCAAAACTACTTATATATAAAGCTATCTGCATGTATTATACCTACAGCTACTAAGAACTATTTTGTTATGAAATACTTAATTGAAAACGCTGTACACGGATATATTGTTTTTAACTTTCATTGTCACTAACATTATAGCTATTAACGGGATTAATACCATGTACCTTGTTTATTATGAGTACGATATTTCGGCACTGTTGCAACAGGTGCGAGTGAATAGTGAGAATGCGACCAGTGGTAGAGGTATCGAGGGCAGTAAAAGACGACAACAGGGGGTAGACCGCTATGTCTGCCAATAACATCTACCCGCAATTACTTCAAATACTCCATGATCATGGCGCTTGCAACATTGCTGAAATATCGGAGACTCATAATAAACAACAATCCCGATAAACATATAGAGCCCAGGAACCCCCCCGGCCCCCCCACTCACCGGGACCCGGGGCTGCGCGGCCATGAGCGTGAACATGGTGTGCATGTCTACGAGCGCCTGCCGCACCTCGCGGTACACGGAGCCCAGGAACCCCAGCGGCCCCCCCACTCACCGGGACCCGGGGCTGCGCGGCCATGAGCGTGAACATGGTGTGCATGTCTACGAGCGCCTGCCGCACCTCGCGGTACACGGAGCCCAGGAACCCCCCCGGCCCCCCCACTCACCGGGACCCGGGGCTGCGCGGCCATGAGCGTGAACATGGTGTGCATGTCTACGAGCGCCTGCCGCACCTCGCGGTACACGGAGCCCAGGAACCCCAGCGGCCCCCCCACTCACCGGGACCCGGGGCTGCGCGGCCATGAGCGTGAACATGGTGTGCATGTCTACGAGCGCCTGCCGCACCTCGCGGTACACGGAGCCCAGGAACCCCCCCGGCCCCCCCACTCACCGGGACCCGGGGCTGCGCGGCCATGAGCGTGAACATGGTGTGCATGTCTACGAGCGCCTGCCGCACCTCGCGGTACACGGAGCCCAGGAACCCCCCCGGCCCCCCCCCCCCCACTCACCGGGACCCGGGGCTGCGCGGCCATGAGCGTGAACATGGTGTGCATGTCTACGAGCGCCTGCCGCACCTCGCGGTACACGGAGCCCAGGAACCCCAGCGGCCCCCCCACTCACCGGGACCCGGGGCTGCGCGGCCATGAGCGTGAACATGGTGTGCATGTCTACGAGCGCCTGCCGCACCTCGCGGTACACGGAGCCCAGGAACCCCCCCGGCCCCCCCACTCACCGGGACCCGGGGCTGCGCGGCCATGAGCGTGAACATGGTGTGCATGTCTACGAGCGCCTGCCGCACCTCGCGGTACACGGAGCCCAGGAACCCCCCCGGCCCCCCCCACTCACCGGGACCCGGGGCTGCGCGGCCATGAGCGTGAACATGGTGTGCATGTCTACGAGCGCCTGCCGCACCTCGCGGTACACGGAGCCCAGGAACCCCAGCGGCCCCCCCCACTCACCGGGACCCGGGGCTGCGCGGCCATGAGCGTGAACATGGTGTGCATGTCTACGAGCGCCTGCCGCACCTCGCGGTACACGGAGCCCAGGAACCCCCCCGGCCCCCCCCACTCACCGGGACCCGGGGCTGCGCGGCCATGAGCGTGAACATGGTGTGCATGTCTACGAGCGCCTGCCGCACCTCGCGGTACACGGAGCCCAGGAACCCCCCCGGCCCCCCCCCCCCCCACTCACCGGGACCCGGGGCTGCGCGGCCATGAGCGTGAACATGGTGTGCATGTCTACGAGCGCCTGCCGCACCTCGCGGTACACGGAGCCCAGGAACCCCCCCGGCCCCCCCCCCCCCCACTCACCGGGACCCGGGGCTGCGCGGCCATGAGCGTGAACATGGTGTGCATGTCTACGAGCGCCTGCCGCACCTCGCGGTACACGGAGCCCAGGAACCCCCCCGGCCCCCCCACTCACCGGGACCCGGGGCTGCGCGGCCATGAGCGTGAACATGGTGTGCATGTCTACGAGCGCCTGCCGCACCTCGCGGTACACGGAGCCCAGGAACCCCCCCGGCCCCCCCCCCCCCCCCACTCACCGGGACCCGGGGCTGCGCGGCCATGAGCGTGAACATGGTGTGCATGTCTACGAGCGCCTGCCGCACCTCGCGGTACACGGAGCCCAGGAACCCCCCCGGCCCCCCCACTCACCGGGACCCGGGGCTGCGCGGCCATGAGCGTGAACATGGTGTGCATGTCTACGAGCGCCTGCCGCACCTCGCGGTACACGGAGCCCAGGAACCCCCCCGGCCCCCCCACTCTCCGGGACCCGGGGCTGCGCGGCCATGAGCGTGAACATGGTGTGCATGTCTACGAGCGCCTGCCGCACCTCGCGGTACACGGAGCCCAGGAACCCCCCCGGCCCCCCCACTCACCGGGACCCGGGGCTGCGCGGCCATGAGCGTGAACATGGTGTGCATGTCTACGAGCGCCTGCCGCACCTCGCGGTACACGGAGCCCAGGAACCCCCCCGGCCCCCCCACTCACCGGGACCCGGGGCTGCGCGGCCATGAGCGTGAACATGGTGTGCATGTCTACGAGCGCCTGCCGCACCTCGCGGTACACGGAGCCCAGGAACCCCCCCGGCCCCCCCACTCACCGGGACCCGGGGCTGCGCGGCCATGAGCGTGAACATGGTGTGCATGTCTACGAGCGCCTGCCGCACCTCGCGGTACACGGAGCCCAGGAACCCCCCCGGCCCCCCCACTCTCCGGGACCCGGGGCTGCGCGGCCATGAGCGTGAACATGGTGTGCATGTCTACGAGCGCCTGCCGCACCTCGCGGTACACGGAGCCCAGGAACCCCCCCGGCCCCCCCACTCACCGGGACCCGGGGCTGCGCGGCCATGAGCGTGAACATGGTGTGCATGTCTACGAGCGCCTGCCGCACCTCGCGGTACACGGAGCCCAGGAACCCCCCCGGCCCCCCCACTCACCGGGACCCGGGGCTGCGCGGCCATGAGCGTGAACATGGTGTGCATGTCTACGAGCGCCTGCCGCACCTCGCGGTACACGGAGCCCAGGAACCCCAGCGGCACGGACAGCTGGAACAGCAGCCCGTTCACCATCACCAGGTCGCCGACGGACATATTGCCTGTGCACATGTTCCAAAGTTATTCCACACGATTCGGACGAAACATTTTTACATGATCGGCGTGTTCATAGTGTCACAATCGCTCTCGAAACGTAACCGCGAAAGTGCCAAAGATCGAATTTGCCAGATCTCCGCGGGTCGCGATAGAGATCGAGTAATGCGGCTCATTCTAAAATGAGCCTTATGCAGTGCGAATGAGGGAGAAAGTGCAACGACATCTGCACTTGTTTACAAGTTACGCGTGTTACCTGCGTAGGTTTAAGTAGGTACTTCGTACTCACGGGTGCTAGCTAATTCTCAATTTAACAAGTACTTTCTAGAATGCGTCGATCGGCGTATATAAGAGCGATTGGCGCCGCGCAGAGACAGTTGAGTTTCAACAGCGATTTCGGAGCGAATCCAAAGGCGATCAAAGTGCAACAAAAATGTTCAAGTGCGATTGTTTAGAGACTTGTATAGTGAAATACAGTGTTTAGTGAGTGTTTTGTAATTAACATTGTGTGTTAATTGTGTGAACTGTGTGGTGAATAAAGAAATGTCAAGCGTGAACTGGCATATAATTTCGAACCCCATCCCGACACGTAACAATAGCATTATTTTCGCCCCGCCCATTTTATATATTTTGTTGTAGCAATTGAAACATAATCAATTAACATATGATAGAAAGTAAAATGATCTAGTTGCAATATTATGTAAGTTTAAACGACCACATATCTAAAATACGACACTCGATCCATTTTAAGTGTGTAGCTGTTGTCGTTTGGACAGTTTTTTACCCAATATTATGGCGCATCGACAAAACGATAAACGAAATCCCAAAAAACAATGTCATGTCTAATTCATATATTTAGGGATAAAAACAAAGCCTGGGTTAAGTGGAAGAAGTTCGGGAATTTGGTAGACTACGAACAATTCCCCATTTTTCGCAAACGTTTCAAAAAACTTTGCGAGGAGTGTTTTAATAACTACATTCTTTCGGTGGAAAATAACATACGCGAAGACTTGAAGCACTTCTGGGCATTTGTTCATAGACATAATAATTGGGGTTTCCCTCGCATAATGAAATACAACCACATGGAGTCTGACGATCCTACCACAGTTTGTGATTTATTCATTGATTATTTTGGTTCTGTCTACGAGAAGAGTACTGCTTCCGGTTTTGATATTAATGCTCAGCACACTCATAACATAAAGGGTAATTTCATAATCTCGGATCTGAACTTTTCTAAGTCCCAGGTAGTTGCAAAGTTGAAATCCTTGGACATTACCAAGGGCTCAGGCCCAGACAACATTTCTCCGCTGTTTCTTAAGTTTACGGCGGACAACATTAGTGTTCCACTAACTATTGTTTATAATAAATGTCTCTCGGAGGGTTTTGTCCCTAACATATGGAAGGCTGCCAATATTGCGCCTGTGCACAAAGCTGGAGCAAAAGATGACGTATCGAATTATCGCCCAATTTCATTGCTTCCTGTCTTGTCCAAGGTTCTCGAGAAACTGGTACATGATGCTATTTACGCTGACCTGCATAATATCATAATACCACAGCAGCATGGATTTGTTAAGCAGCGTTCGACTGTCACCAACCTCTTGGTATACACTAATTACTTATTTACTAGCATGGATCAGCGTGTGCAAGTGGACACTGTGTATACAGACTATTGCAAGGCCTTTGACAAAGTTGATCACCGATTGCTCCTGCAGAAGCTAGCGTTCAACGGAATACGAGGCAACCTTCTGAGGTGGTTTTGCTCTTATATTTTTAACAGGACACAGAGAGTAGTAATCAACGGTCATACGTCTGGTACCATAATTGCTACGTCTGGCGTAGCACAGGGCTCCATTTTAGGACCTTTGCTGTTTGTTTTGTTTGTTAACGATATTGATAAATGTTTTTTACACAGTAACTTCCTACTTTATGCTGATGACCTAAAAATCTTCAAGCAGATCAGAACTCTCAATGACTGTCTTCTTCTCCAGATGGACCTTGATCGATTCAGTGATTACTGTGTGTACGGATTATACACCTTTAGAGAAGAGATTGGTAAATAGAAAGTCACTGGAAACAATTACTGAGAGTTTATTGAGATAATTTACACTACTATAACAAAGTCTATAAACAGGAAAACTAAAGTTAAAGTATGGTGAAAGAATGGTTTACGTATGGTGAAAAGGTAAGAGTGAGTACGCGCGGTTGGTAAGGCTACCGGATAGACACTAATTATAGATTCAATATGTTATTATTGCGAAACAATGAAATTAATAAATTATAAAGTAATAAGTCGCGCAGCGGGTCATATTGCTGACGCGTTAACCTACTTAATATGAGTTTAATGTGCGGCTAAACCCGTACATGCTCCCGGGGGAGAGAAAATTGCAGTGGTATGCAATAGAAATTAAAGGAAAGTTATAGCTATTATTAGTAAAGTGCAAAGTAAATAATAATGTGGTGAAGTGCTTAACAAGATATTATAAATTAATTAGATTGTCTAAAATGGGTGCGGAAATTTGGCACTGGTGTAGTATTAAACCGAACTTGGCACTTTTTTGTATTTTCACTACCACTGGGCCTTTCGATTTTTGTATCACACGCACTAGGCCCTTCAGATTTTATTTCACTGTAATTGGTTGAATCAGATACGCACTCTTTAACACTAACACACTGCACACCGGCACTAGCACTATATGTAGCGTCTATGTCGCTACGCGTGGAGGAGGCGCGGCGCGCGGCTCGGCGCGCGCGCACCCGGTGGCTCGCCCATGCGAGGCTGACAACGATGGCTGCTCCCAGCAACACGTAGATGGCGACGTACTGGTGAACGTCGTGGTAAGAGACGACATCTGCTACGCCAGGCTGAGATTTTATTTCTCTAATCTGGTCTCCGAGTAGCTTTAGATCCTTTTGTAAACCACTAGGAGTCATTACCATGGGAGAATCAGGGCTAGTGACATTTATTATATTATTTATAGGCGGTATGTCTGGCGTCAAGATGTCTGGTTTTATGTTTATATTATTGGAGAGTTGCTTATGCGCCATTATGGTGACAGATTCGCCCTTGATGACGCAGCCGTTTCCGAGCGTTATCACACCGGCCCCGGTGAGTCGCTCCACCGATATGAGTTGATCACACATTATTCTTATAGGACATTCATGACCACAGGAGAAAAGGTAAGTATTCGTCCTTTGAAGTTGAGACCATGACTGAGCACACGGAACAATACTTGTTTTGCAGTTGCCGGTGATCGGATCCTTGACACATAAACTTTCATCAGTTTTAAACTGATATAGTGGGGTATGCACTGGGCAGAGTTGAACTTCCACATCATAGAGGGTGCAGCTCTGGAGAACATTGTCCGGCATTGGTAAATATAAATCTTTGCGTAAATTAATAGCAACGTGAGAGGCAACAGGCATTAGGGTGGCCATGGTTTCGTTATTCCCTTTCGGAATTGGTATAATTTTATAAACATCATACATATCTCTACTTACAAGTGGGATTTTAATCTCAAATAACAAATATTCATTTGTAGTTCTTGCTTTTACTTTCATCAGATGATATATCTTTGGTAATTCATTTTGGATGTTATCGACTGGTAGCGATAAATCCTTGGAAATGTGTCCCGTTATTAAATGAAGTTCTTGAATTAACTGTTCTGGTTTCAACAAGTGTATGTTGAAGTTTCCATAATAGATATTGGTAATGGTGTCTAATAACGTTTCCTGAATATTTCGTAAGTTAGAGAGAATGTTGTTTGCAATTAATGCTGATATGGTAAAGTCATTCATATCGATAGCGTGGTATATTTCCGTATTTAACTGTTTTGCTGCCTTTTCGAGATTTATCAAGTGTTGATTAAACTTTTTATGTTGCTGTTCCATTGTCGATTCGGTTCTTTTTAGCAAATTATACTCTGCTTCTACTACCGAAGTTTGGTTCCGCCACAAATTTTCAAGATGTTTTTCGTTAATTCGTATCAGGTTTATATCTTTGGTATATTGATCGGCAAAACTTTCATCCAGAATTCCAAATAAAGTGTGGGCAACGTTACCGACTCCATTGATAAATCCGCGGCGGCGCCGGCGAGTTATCGGGCGCGCAGTTTGCTGACCGAGCAATATGCGGTTGTAGTAATTATATTCTTGGTATCCCTGACCTAATTGTAATAAGAGTACGTCACATTGTGTCTGTTTAAGTTTGGAACATATGGTTTCAAGGTGAGAGACGTACTTATTTAGCAGAGTGGTACCTTGCCAATAAGGGTTTAAATCGTAATACACGACGAGTTTCCATTCATCTCTAATCAAATACATAGTAGATGTTTTATCGAGAAAGTACATATTGTTATTTTTGTTTAAAGGATATATATTATACGAACAGCTAGCTGGTGTAAATAAACAAGTAAATAACATTAGTAGCAGTGATAAACAAGTAGTAAATGACTTTCTCGGTTGGTTTTTTCTGGTTTTTTGGTGAGTTTGGTTTTCAGGTATTTGAGGAGCTGGTTTTATTTCTTCTTGGTGATTTGATACTGGTAAGATTGATAATTTTGTGGCAGGCCTTTTCATGAATCCATTTTTGGTTTTTATGGTGACGACTCCGACGTAATTCTCTTTGCCAGGGTGAAGCTCGACCACTCGTCCCAGCGCCCACTTCCCAGCAGGTAGGTTGGTGTCGTGTATAATGACGACATCGTCGATTTTAATGTTTTCCTTTGGTTGTCGCCATTTAGATCTCGCCGATAATTGTGTAAGATATTCCGCTTGCCATCGCTTCCAAATATCTTGAAAGATTTTTTGCGTCAAATGCCACCTGGTTCTTAAGTCCGTTTCGGTTTCTAAAATGGTAAGAGTGGGTCCACTAGCTAAGAAGTGAGATGGTGTAAGGAAGTTTAAGTCCTCTGGATCTTCTGTTAGGGGACACAACGGCCGTGAGTTGAGGCACGCTTCTATTTGAGTTAAGATCGTGGTAAACTCCTCAAAAGTGGGCCTTTGCTCTCCT